ATCTGAAGTTGTATAGTAATAATATTGACACTAGCCCACCAGGAAACATTTATTGTTGGCTGTTAAACAGTCTTTATTTCTGACTTCCTTCAAAATCTTTGCATGTTAGTTTGGATTCATTAAAGATTAACATTTGATATGGTTTTGTGTAATTTTGTTTGCAACCATTTTTTGTTATATGATTCAAATAGCTTTGTCACACCATATATTGTCATGTTGTATGAACAACAAACTTATACTAGTGATTTAAACCATACAATTAATTAGGAAATGTTTCTCGAGGTCATAAACCAAGTGAGAATGAGGGTAATTATTTCATAAACTTCTTTAAAATCTGACTATTTGCAACCAAAAGCTTTTAGACAGAACAAAGGTTAAGACATGTAAGGCATCATTAGCTTCACTTTTAAAAACAATTGCCGCTTGGGTAATTCAAACTACTTTCAGTTAACAGTCATGATTTGGGTTTGCTTATTTCTTGGGACATGTTTATCTAAGATCCACACAAGCAATGTAAATGATTACCTTGAGAGAGGATCCGAGTAAAACAGGGTGAAATTGGACTCGTAACGTATGAAGACAAGTAACAGAACAAGTCTCTAGCAAATGGACATCTATATTTAGACTCAATGTCTCTAAACTCAATCATATCTGACATGGATTTGGGATTAAAAGATAAGGATCATTCAGTGGCCTCAAGAAAGCGTTATAAAGTAGCCCTCATATTCTTCAATTTAAGCGTGTCTTTTAGAAATAATAAAGGAAAGACGCCAACATCATAACACATTCACTATAGCCTTTTTTTTAATATAACACAACAAACAGGAAATACAAAAAAAAACAAGCTGGCGTTTCACGTTAGGAACTCATTTCAACACAGCTGATTGCTAAATGTGCCTGCCAGGTCTTCAATACTTGTCAGAGTGACCTATAATCCTCACTACTGAACAGGACGTGATTATATCACACAGGGCCTATTAGGGTAAATAAGGTTTAATGTCAGGGTTATTACTTTAGGGTTAGCAATCATTAAGTGTAAAAAATGCATGTCTTTGCATTCATTGGACGATTAACTTGGGTTCGTGGATATACTGTACAACCCTCCACCCAAATGCCAAAATGCCATCCAATTGGCAGAGGTGGGAGTAAGTCCTACATGTGCAAGTCATGAGCAAGTCTCAAGTCTTGACCTACAAGTATCAAGTAAGTCCCAAGTCACTGTGGTGAGACTCAAGCAAGTCAAGTCAAGTCATTGCTCAGGTCAAGCAAGTCAAGTCAAGTCATACAAAATTCTGATGAATGAGCCCAGTTTCCGCATTTAAATCAGTTAAAAGACAGTGGTTATGAACATGATTCAACCCACACTATAAGATCTTCATTACATACACAGTTAATCATTTGAAATCTAATTTAGACCGATGACAATCATATTAGATTCATATTAACCCTAGAACTGCAGACAATATAGCTAGGACTCAATCAAAAAGTCTGTTAAAAAAGGCAGAATTCCAGGTAAGAAAATCGTATATGGCATTTGCCATTACACATATTTAATTTAAATGTCTGTTAACACTAGAACCGCCAACAGCGTCAGCACCTACATATATATCATTTTCAAATCATTTAATTTGTTCCTCTTCATAATTTTCTTATAAACTAAGTAGGACGATTTAAAGCTCACTTAATTGGGTTCATTTTGAAATTGCTTCAGTTTATCATCATAACAGATCAAAAAGTTCAGATTCATTTTACATAAATCAAAGAATGATGCACTTCTACAAACAAAAACAACATAATTAAAACATTTAAACAAACTACTAAAAGTAGATGAACTACATTATTCAAAAGTTTACAGTAACTTCTGATAATAACACAGGGGAAATAAACGAGGCATCTATTTTCCTCTCTCTCTCTCCCTCTCCTGACAGCCCGTCAGTATCAGGCTTAGTCAAAATGAATCCCTTGGCGGTTCTAGTGTTCATTTACCATTTTGTCTTCTCTTTGCAATGCTTAATCGATTTGAAACCAAGTCTAACGTAGCTTAAACTTAACGTTAGCTTTCTAGCTAACACAACACATGCACGTACCTTTCTCTGTGGCAGTAGCGTGGCGTGGGGAAAAAATGAGGGGAAGCCAATAATACGTCCTTTCTTTTGGGTCGGATGTGTGGTGGTCGGTCAATGTAATAACGTAACCAGATGAGTGATTACAGCACCCGGTATCTTTTTACACACATTTGTATCATACAGATGCAGGATATACACACGCCTGTTATCTAACCGACATATCCGCACGCACCCTCCAGCCAAAACTCTAATAAGCATTAATTCACAAACTAAATCAGGAGACCTTTAACGTTTTACGTTCGATTCGCTCCTTTTTTCCTCGCTGTACACAGCTCCAGTTTGGGCATTGGCCTGTCATCAGATTGTATTTGTTGTTGCTGCTGTAGCGGAAGTTTAGTACAATTATTTTTGATTAAACACTCCAAATCTCCACCCTCCATATTAATTGCACTTGCTTCAATTGCTTGCTACTTTCTAACGGCGGTGAGAGTGGTGCAGTGACGCTATTTGTCTTCTATCGATTAGATTTATGATTCGAAAATTATAAAAGTAGGGTAGACATGTGGATATTATCTGATTTAACAAAACATGCATTTATTTAACAGGTTCGTTATCCACTGACCTTATTTCGAGCTATTTTCCAAAATCCTATGGAGAAATCCCATTGCCTTTTTGTCGAGGGAAACCGAGCGCAGCTTACTTCCGGGTTTTAGGACTGCCACACTAAATTGATGCGATTTGATTGGATTGTGAGGCAAGGGAAGCCAGCCGCCTCTGGCTTCCCTTGGCATGGCCCTGACTAATCACAGGTTGGCAGGGGCATGACGTGAGCCTTGTCTGATTGGTCAATCCCTCCATTTTTTTTCACCAAGGGAAGCCAATTTCTGCTGGCCTACTCTCGCAACAGAGAGTGCAATCTACTGTTTCACCATAACATGTAGAGGGGCGCTGTTTCACTATTTGTAAAATACTCAATGATAATGGGGGAGAGACGGGCCAGCAGCAACACAAGCACAGAAAAATTACCGAAACCAAACAAAGTGTTTTTATTTATTTATTAAAATTATAACTACAATCCGAAAAAACAGGGGAAGCCTGGCTTCCCTTGGCCTCCAGGAGAAAACGCCACTGCTCTGTGGGTTGTTTTGTAGTGACGAATGAAGTTGGATGTTGTGGTGGTCCTGTCACTGATCTTTATGCTGCAGACCCTGCATACCGCTGTTCTCTTCTTATTAGCGTCATCGACAAAATAATCCTTTAATCCAAACTTGACTATTTTTGGAGTAACGCTAGCTGCTGCCATGCTAACTGACACTCCTGCCTACTAGTGGGTTGCCAGGTTTGCGCGCATGGCTCTATAATCACCCAATCACATTTCGAAAAAACTAAACGTAATATCTCAATACAAAAACAACTAACCCTAACGCAAATATTTAATTTTAAAAAGTCAAGTCCTTTCAAGTCATCTGTCTCAAGCTTAAGTCAAGTCTCAAGTCATGAATACCAAGTCAAAGTCAAGTCAAGTCTTTTATCAATGTTAATCAAGCAAGTCTCAAGTCCAAAAATATGTGACTCGAGTCCAACTCGAATCAAGTCATGTGACTCGAGTCCCCACCTCTGCCAATTGGCATCTAAATGCTTCACTTCCCTCTGCTCTATTACCTTGTCAAGTTAGTTTTTAGTCCATTCTCTGCCAACCCTCTTAGGAAATGCACTTCTCTCAAATGACATGTATCGAGTCGACCATGTTATTTTCCTTTACAAACACAATGCTGATTTCACTACATTTCACAAGACCAGGGTCCATTAACCCATTGTGTTATTTTAAATGGGTCATTAGTTTTGTGCTCTAACCTTGAAAGATATGTCATACAGAGTCTTTAAACCCATTACCTCGTTGCCCGGTCACACTTGACTGATTAAGCCTCCTCGGTCTCCTATGCTCATGAAACTCGGGTTGCTTATTCCCAGGTATCCAGGGGTGACTGGCCTCAAGGCAGTGCCATTTCACGGGTCTAAATAGCTAATTAGCTGAGACCTTGGGAACAACATTAAGGCAACCATTAGAAATTAGCCATTGACATTTGGCTGCTGTACTAGTAGACTGCTATTCAGACTGAATGGCCATTTATTTGGAACAATTTGAGATGTGGATGTGGATTCAGAGCTCTGGCAACAGGCTAATAATAAATGGTAGATCAATGTATTTTCATCAATAGAGTTACATCTTTATATTTCCACCTATTTATTATTGTTTTGAAATTGTCTTTGTAATCCACGTTTTGCATAATGGAGGACACTAAGCATCTTGAATGTGCTGTAGTTTAAATCTCTACTGCTCTTGATATAGAGTCCTGTAAAGTGAAGCACGAATAAATTAATCAATACCCAAAATTTGTTTTATATTTACCAACTAAATGTTTTAATTTAAATGTATACTGCTGCATGTCGAACAGATAGATTACATTATTTCTGGATATTATGTTCCCATTTATAATTTTCCACCTTGTTAATAAACTTGAAAATCGACTTTGATTTCAGCTTGAAATAATATAATTTGTACACATATTCTGAAATGCTCAACTGATCACTAATTATTTGTAATGTCTTGTGTTACAATGGGTCAAACCTGAGCAAATATAACACATAGCATAGTTGACATAATGGAATACACTGAACAAAAATATAAACGCAACACTTTTGTTTTTGCTCCCATTTTTTATGAGATGAACTCAAAGATCTAAAACATTTTCTATATACACAAAATAACCATTTATCTCAAATATTGTTCACAAATCTGAAAAAATCTGTGATAGTGAGCATTTCTCCTTTGCAGAGATAATCCATCCCACCTGTGACAGCTGTTGCCTCTCCGGTCCTGTTAATACCGTTTTGCTATCCTGTCATGTAAATAAGCTGTGTGATTGCTTCAAGGTGACTGGCTACCAACTCCGGGTTCCGCCCTGAAGACACTGATTGGAGCACACCGGGCCCGACGCGCTCCAATCCCCGGGCCATCTCAGCGCACACCTGCGAGAGATGACGCTACAATGCCTGGGGACAGCTATCACTCGGGAGGCTCTGTTGCTATCTGACCGCTCTGTCGGTGCACCTAAGTTGTCTTTTGGGCGACACTCAGATCGAACCCCTCCTTTGCTCCCAAGAGCCTAAGGAGTTCGTTCAGGTCAAGGGCTATTCAGTTAGGTGGCTTTAATCTTCCATTGTTAACCAATCAGAAGTGGCCCATGATAGAAGGTGATCCAATCACCTGCCAAGTATTTTTCAAAGTGCCTGCCCTTTCCAAATGGCTTCCAATGGAGCTTTCCTAGATGGTTTGGTGAAACAAATGGTTTGGTGAAACAAACCATCTGAGTCAGGTTAGTAATGCTCCATCACATGTTTTACATCTATTACAGGGTGAATCTTAAACTGAAGCTTGACTTTAAAGCAACCCAACGGAAGTTTCATGTAAGTTTAGTTATTGCACTCGTAGCTCGGGCTGCGCGGGAGCTAGAGACGGGAGCATGTTGATGCGACCTTCCTAGCCGGAGATATGGCCGCATTTTACAATAAACTTCCATTGGGTCGCTTAAAAATAAATATCGCAAATCGAATCGCAATATTTGTCAGAAAAATCGCAATTAGATTTTTTCCCCAAAATCATGCAGCCCTACCCAGTGTGTGCGCTAGCATGTTATGTAGAGCGCACGGCTGCCATTAGGTGCACTGAATAGCTGTTTGTGTGCTTTGGGGATGGTGTGGCTGGAAAAGCTTTCTCCAAGAGGCGCCTGACAGGATGGCTCTGCGAGTGCATTACACATGCCTATGGACGGGTGGGGAGAGACCTCCCCACTGGGCTCCGTGCACACTCTACACGGGCTGTGGCTGTGTCAACAGCCTTATTCAGCGGCCTGAGTATTGAAGATATATGCACGGCGGCGACTTTGTCTACGCCCCTTCATAAAGTTTCCGGGGGTGCTTTTAACCACTCTCTCCATGAGGCAGAAGAGGGCATGGGAATACTCCTGGAGGGATTCTCCAACTAGCTGCTTTCTGGAAAATAAACTCTCCTGTAGAGCAACATAAGATTTAGAACAACCATACATTTCTTGCAGAATAGTTAAGATTCGTTCTGGATTTTCGCGTTCACCTTGTGGCCGGTACCTAATCTCCTCTCTAGCCTCACTTTCCAGATGGTCATAGATAAAGTAAGCCTGATCTAGAGGAGAGAGGTAACGAGCCCGCATGCTGGACCGCACCTCCTCGACTCAATCACTTATCCCTATACCAGAGTTACCTCTAAACACCGGACATTTGCGTTCTCTGGGAAGGTAGAGAACTCGCTCGCTGGTGTGAACCCCCCTTGAGGTGGAGAGTTGTGGTGCTCTGACCTAATTACCCATGAGATACCCCTCTTAGACGAGGTACCAGTCCATCAGCGATATAGGAGAGTACCCCCCTCAGAGTATGAGGCAGTAAAGGCACATATTCGACAGTTGTTAGACAGCCAGGTGATCCGAGAGAGTAGCAGCCCCTACGCCTCTCCAATCGCCATCGTTCGGAAGAAAGATGGCAGTATCCGCCTGTGTGTCGACTACCGGCAGCTGAATAGCAAGACGCGCCGGGATGCCTTCCCATTGCCGAGGATCGAGGAATCGCTTGATGCACTCTCAGGAGCAAAGTGGTTCATGACCTTGGATTTGGCAAGTGGATACCATCAGGTGCCTGTTGCAGAAAAAGACAAACTGAAAACCGCTTTTTGCACACCATTTGGCTTGTTTGAATTCAATAGAATGCCATTTGGCCTTTGTAACGCACCTAGCACCTTTCAGAGACTGATGGAGCGGATGTTCGGGGCCCAGCACTGTCAATCCCTACTGTTGTATTTGGATGATGTTGTCGTCTTCTCTTCCACAGTGGATGAACAGCTGGACCGTTTGGGAGCTGTGTTGAACAAGCTGCAGCAAGAGGGCTTGAAAGTGAAGCTGAGCAAGTGTGCATTCTTCCAAAAAGAGGTAAAGTACCTCGGCCATGTCATCTCTGCTGATGGTGTGTCTACAGATCTACAGACTACCTGCCAAGGCCTTGCAGAAACCTTGTAGCTCAGAGGCCCATAATCTGGTAATCCAAGCTGCCATTTCTGCCCTTCCATCACATTCAGGCACTGAGTTGGCTGCTCTTCAGATGGCTGACCCAGTTATAGGGATGTTTTTACAGTACTGGGAAAGCCACAAGCGCCCAGACAGGGCAGACAGAGCAGCCCTCTCTCCCCAGGTCCTGGAGCTGTGTCGGCAATGGAAAAGGATCACCCATGGATGGACTACTGTATCGCCGTACCCGGAGGCCAGATGGAGGAGAGGACTTCTACCAACTACTCTTTCCAGGATGTCTGAAGAGTGAGGTTCTGCAGCAGCTACACCAGGGTCACGGCCACCAGGGGATGGAGAGGACAACGGATCTTGTACGACAAAGATGTTACTGGCCCCACATGCACAGAGACATCAAAGAGTGGTGCCAGCAGTGTGAGCGCTGTACACTTGCCAAGGTAACTCAACCACACACCAAAGCACCCATGGGCCACCTCCTGGCCTCCAAACCCAATCAGATATTGTCAATTGACTTTACTCTCCTTGAACCCTCGCAAGAGGGCAAATAAAATGTCCTTGTAATGACTGACGTGTTTTCGAAGTTCACCCAGGCTGTAGCAACGAAGGACCAAAGTGCCTCAACAGTAGCACATGTTCTGGTGACAGAGTGGTTTTACAAGTTTGGAATGCCCGCTCGTCTTCACTCTGACCAGGGTAGGAATTTTGAGAGTGCCCTTATTCAACAGCTATGTGAACTCTACGACATTCAGAAAACCCGGACTACACCATACCACCCCCAGGGTAACAGGCAGTGTGAGCGGTTCAACCGGACTCTCCATGATTTACTCCGTACGCTCCCAATTGAAAGGAAGCAGAATTGGTCTAGATCAGAGGTGCCCAGTACGTCGACCGCGGGCTACCGGTCGACCGCGGGGGCAAAGCTGGTAGATCGCGAGTCATTCCTAAAAAAAAAAATCCTGTTCCGTTAAAATACACAAAACAGGTTTTGATCCCTCCTCCCTTGGCCTCCCTGCCACTTAATTCAGGAGTTTACTTGATTGACAGAAAAAGCGACCTATCGCTTTCCAGTCTGTTAACCCAGAATGCAAAGCGATACAAAATCAGTCAAGTGCCGGGAAAACACAAATGAAGTTAAAGAGACAAACAAGAGACAAACAACAAAATGAGTGCGGGACCGAGCAAGAAGCTAAAGACAAACCACTTCCACACAGAATGGGAGGAAGAATATTTGTTTGTGATGTCACATTCAAAGGTTATTTGCTTATTTGTAAAGCAAGCGTCGCTCTGCCAAAGAAAGGTAACGTGGAGAGGCATTATCGGAGTGTTCACAAGGCATATGACAGCGACTTCCCTCCGAGTAGCGAGTTGAGAAAGAGAAAGGTGTATTATTGCTACACAAATATTATCTCGCAATCTTAGTGTCGCCAACTCGTTTCTAACATGCAAAAAGACAAACAAATGTCGGTGTATTTTCGATCTTTCCAATCGAGACGAGATCTCTCTCCCCCGTCTGTGTGCGAGGGGGCGGGGCAGTTTACACACACGCGGCTGCTACAAGCAGCAACACACGGAGGAGATGGCTGAGAGAAGCGCTCCAAGGTGTGGTTAAATGTTACCCGTCTTGAGGTGGACAATGCTCCTTGCCAAGAGTGTTTAGCATGTAAGGGCGGTAACACGAGCAATGTGTCTAAACATTTAGCAAAAGTGCTCCACATCCAGATGGAGGAATGCACCGGGTTCGACTGTCTTTCTAGCAGCTCTGTAGCCCCCCCATCCACGAGTAACGTTTCCACGTCAGGTGTTATGTATGCTAGCAGCAACACACGCAGGTAACTCAATGATTCAAACATGGGTTAATGATTATAGGAAACTGAGTTACTCTTTATTTTGTTAAAGTTTCAGCTATTCTGTTCACAGTTCTGTCATCAGATTATTTAATACGATTTGTTAAAACATTGTTGTTTCTTTTGATGTGAAATATTATTTATTTAATTTAAATAAAAAGCAATGTTAGTTTTGTTCACAATTTGTTAATTTAATAATATATGTATTTTTGAATCAAGTATTCATCTTTATTGTCTTCATTGTTAGTTTCCACATGCCTAAAACAACCTCAAGCTAAATCTAAAAAGTTGATGGCTAAACAAGAGGGTTTGATAAATTGTGCAAGGCATACAGTAATAGTCTGAATAGTCGATTCATTAATCGATAGATTAATCGATTATCAAATTAGTCGTTTGTTGCAGCCCTATTATTCCATGTATAAATACAACGTGTTATTCAGCAACCCTTGCAATTTGGGATTTTATTTTTGGTTGGTAGACCTCGGTGAGCTGGTCATTTCAAAAGTAGCTCACCAGCCCAAAAAGTGTGGGCACCCCTGGTCTAGATACTTGCCTCAGGTTACGTTTGCATACAACACCACCAATCACCAATCTACCGGTGAGTCCCCTTACTACCTTATGTTTGGACAGGAGCCTCATTTACCTGTTGACTTCCTCCTGGGAAGAGTTCCAGAACCTTCCCATGGTAGAGTTGAAACCTGGGTCCAGGAGCATAAAAAACGACTACAGGTGGCCTACGACGGGGCACGTTGGAGAATGGAGAAAGCTGCAAACTCACGCAAGGAACGCCATGACGCTGGAGCTAATGCCAGCGACCTGCAGGAAAAACAGCTGGTCTACGTGAGAGACCACAGCAGAAGAGGAAGAGTCAAAATCCAGGACCGGTGGGGCCCAGTCATCCATGTGGTGATCAAGGCCCCCAGTGCTGGGGGCTCCACATATTCCGTGACCCCCTTGGAAGATCCCCACAAAGTGAAACACCTCCATCGATGTATGATCAAACCTGTACCTCCTAATCTTTGCCCTCAAGGATCTGCAAGAGAGGACCCCAGTAATGCCCCCACTGAGAGTGAGGACCATGTGGCTATAAGCAGGGATACGCTTGAGGAAGAAGCTGGTGATGGTCTCTTTGTGGTGACCAGGTCCTTTGGTGAGGAATCAAGACCGCTCCAGATAACACCAGCCACTTCTAATAGTTCTCCTCTAAACTCATCCCTCGCAGTGGCTTCAGGAAGCGGGACAGAGCCCCCAAGGAGAACAGCTCGGAAAACAGCAGGTCAACACTCGAACCCTCATCGCCTGCCTGAGGTAGCAGAGGTTAGGCTACCTGGGG